AATGAATGTATTGCCCATTCCAAGTCGCCTTCCTGTGTACTGACCGCCTGATGGATCCGTCATCACAGCGAGTTAGGCAGACATCTAAAAATGCAAGTTGATTGTTTGCTTCATTTTCAATCGTGAATTTCAAATTTCGATGCACAGTATTGAAATGATCTGATATATTTTGGCACTCCGTTGTAGAATCGACCACGCACAAAATATCGTCTACGTAACGTTTGTACAGTACGCATTGTTTGATATACGTCTTAATTGGACCGTTTTCTATTTTAGACATGAAAACATCGGCAAACAAGGGCCCTAGAGCGGATCCCATTGCTACACCGTCCTTCTGGCGATAAATTTCCTGACTGAATTTGAATTGCACATTGTGAGTACAGAAGAATCAAATAGTACAAAACACTATAGTGATTTAAAAATTTTCAATGGCAATAAATTTGATTTACATTAGATGCAACTCTAAGAGGAAAATCCAAATTACGAGTAACCTGACTACTTTGTGGAAGCATTAGTAATCAATAAATAACGGACAACGTGGTTGCTCGAGGCAGGTCGCCAAAATGTCCCCAATGTGCTTCAAAGGGGTTGAGAATTCTCTGATAGATTGCGGTTGGATAGACAAGGCGATTTTTCGTGATTCTACAGTCGAATCCTGCGTTCTATCCTCAAAATATTCTATGGAATTAATGCATTTATAACAACCGCAATAAACGTAAAACATGGCTAACACATGGATACCCCTGCAATTATCTTCGTCCTCCATATCCTGTCGCACAGGCGGCTAACTCGTCCTGCTAAGATATCAAACCCGTGAGTTTGGTGATAAGTGTGTTTTGACACATTCGTGTGCGTAACAAGATCATCAATCGACAACACTTACGTGAGCAGTCTTGTGTGAAATTGACGGTTGAATGATTGATTTCGATTCCATGGTAAAAATACGAGAAGTTATCTCATAGCTGCTCCACAAGCCGTGGATCATGGGAAATGCGCTTTCCGTTTGCCTCCATAGCCCACGTCTCGCACACGAAACCGGACAACTAAGGAAATCGAATGACCCACACCCAGTAAATTCTTCCGATGCCTAGCCTTACTAACATATCTTCATTCTAATTATGATGTTCACACGTTCTAACAGTGGTAACCAAGGCTGTCGAAGCAGCCTCACCAATCCCGCGCCACGGGGGCATACATGAGAGAATCAGACAGATCACCAGTCAACCCGATCTCAACAGACACGACGGGAATGAGTTAGTGCTAATGTGCTCACGTGCTATTCTATTAGAAATTTGTACATAAACGCCTCCCGTTTTGATATGGCTTTCGGATTTGCAGATATGAATGCACTCCTAATAGGTGTTCGACTTAACCATTAGAACACGTACGACTTGATGTCGACATCCAACGCTATCAAATCACGCTTTCATCTTCGTGGTACTGAAATTGTACCCGTTGTCTGTAACAATATCTAGTACTATATCATTTCGGCTAAAACAATTTCGGAGAGTTTGAATCACGAATGATGTTGTTGGCATACTGTGATGATTACGAAACGAGTACGCACGCACCACGGTACAGTTCCCAGGAAGTAAATCAAATGTTGGCATCAGCCGAATTGGCCAAATGCCAGGAGACAACCAAAATGTTCAAAGGGTTGCAATCTAATCTAAGACCTACGGTGAAAGGCTGCGAATTCTCGGACTCTATTCGTCTGAATACCGTCGAATATGGGGAGACATGATCCTCGTTTATCAAATACTACATCAACCTAACCGCCCGTTTGGTACTCTACTAACACTATCCAGGAATGGTCACCTCCGAGGACATCCGTTTAAACGTTTGTTCCAAAAGAGTCGGCTAGACTGCAGGCGTCATTCTTTCAGCCTCAGAGTTTGGAACACCTCGAACTCTCCTCCACCTCAGGTTGTTTGTGCACCAACCATCGATTCATTCAAATCACGACCGGATGAAGTATTGGAACACACGTGAGTAAACTTCATAACTTGCCATTTAATTGTACTACCAACTGAACCCAGTGTGTACAGATCCTATGAGATCCAATAAGCATCAGCTTTGTAATTTACCCATAATAAGAATTTGAATTTGAAACCAAATGAGCCAGACCGCTGGCGATTGGACATGGAGACATCAGACAGTGATAGTGTGGTGATCGTGTAACGGGTATGCACGCATCGCGGTACAGTTTCCAGGTAACCAATCAAGAAGCGAGATAGCCGACCAACCCTGTGGTCTCAATTGGCATCATCCGGATTGGCTGATTTCAAGAAGGCAAACAGATAAACCATATCCTCGTCGATTGGACATTCAAGAATCGACCAATGATTGTTTGTTGCTTGTATTATATATTTCCATGATTTTCTGAATAGAATTAACTGTACCCACAGCTCATCTTGGTTCTACCTGACTTTGCGCTATTCTGTGGGTTTTCAGTCCGATACCGAGTTTGCGCTATTCGATTTCGATTCCTATTCCGAATACTACAGATAGTTTTTTACTTGTCATATTTATTTGCATGGCTTTCCGAATAGAATAAATTGTATGCACAGCTCGCCTTGGTCTTACCTGAGGGTGGGAATACGAGAATCTGAATTGGTAGCAGTAACTGCCGATGTTTATTCATAGAAACACAGTATGTTTTATAGAAAATAATAGGCCATATCACTGGTTGAAGGACCATTGTCCGATCACGTAGCCATTTGCACGGACGCATCGCATTTACTAACTATGATGTAATGTTCGCTCAGTGTATCATTGGTCCAGCTTGCTGAAGTATGATTGGAT